GGTACTTCAGAAGACACGACTCTCTCAAATATGGCTCGAGCTGTTCAAGTACATCCCGATGCAAACAACGTCATGTACTTCGCTTAAATTTCCCTTTTTTCTTAATTCTTAAACTTTTGTTGCTTAATCCCACCATATTGCTGATCGAAAATGCATTTTTTCTGGGATGGGGCGGCTGTAGAAATGGGTGTGTTTAGAGAAATGATTTAGAGAAGCTAGTTACATCTGTACGATGTTCTTACAGCTAGTTCTTACATCTGTACGATGTACTTCTTACATCGTACATCATTTCCAGCTATACAGTAACCTGAGAGTACAGTAATCCTTGCTAACTATACGGTAGTAACCCTACAGTAGTAACCCTACAGTAGTAACCCTACAGTAGTAGGGTTACTACCGTATGGTCCTTGCTAACCCGACAGTATTAGGGTTATCAAGGATTACTATCTCTTAAACCATACCCAAATCTACCATACCCCATCCCAGTCTTTCCCTAAAGTGTGCTCCTTTTTAAAGTCGCTAAAACTACCCCAACGATGAGCTCTTTCTCTAATCAATTTAACGCAGATGCTTTGTTTTCCGTTTTTTTTTCTCTCTCTCTCTTTTCTTTGATGATTACGGTACATCTTTCCCAGCTATACGGTAAATTTAGGGACTCTTTAAAACAAAAAATCACTTATTTTACGAAATCCTTTCATTTTATAGCGATAATGTCTTCTTTTCCCAGTTCAAAAGTAAACAAAGTAAGCAAAAGTAAAACTTTTTCAAAGCCAAACTAGTGTTTTCTCTTTTTTCTATAAAAGGTGCCCCTATTTTATGTTGAAATTTTGTGGTAACTTTTTTGAATTAAAAAGATTTGCCCCCCGATAATCTCTGCTCACTCACTGTAGATTTCTCGTGTTTTTTTCAAACTTTTTCAACCTTTTTCTCTTCTTCTTCACCCAGAACTTGCTTTCAGATTAATTTTCTCTATGCCCTTGTTAAATTGTGATACTTTAATAGATTTGGTTGCGTTAAAAGTTGGTCATTTTGTCGAGGAATATTTAAGCTTTATCAGTTTATCAGTTTTTAGCTTTTTCAAGTACTTTCTCCAACTTTTAGCGCAAAGATAAACAAAAAAAAGTCAAAGCCAAGTTCCCTATCCAGTCCTGCCAATCAAGATGAGCCTTTCGACAAAAAAAAAGTAAAGAGAAAATCGATTCTCGAATCATATAATAGAAAATATGCAATTTGAGTGCTTTCTGGGGGAAAGGGTGTGGAAATCGTGCACTAGATCGAGGGTTTTTGGCAAACAAAGAACAACACTCGACTTAGAAACCTTTAGGCAAGTAAATGAATCTAAATTTGGATCTAATCTAAATCAGGGGTTGTATTCAGAATTCGCATTCAGAATATAGATAAGTAGATCTAGAAATATCCAGATAAATAGATAGATTTGGCTTCGTTATCTGAATATCTAGACAATTAGAAGAGGCTAGATTTAAGCCAGCTCCAGCAGCGTTAAGCCAGCTCCAGTTTTTCAGAATGCTATAAGATTTTTCAGGATCAGGATCTGTAGGTTTACAGCTTTTGAGGAACTAGATGAAGAGCTAGATCCAGCAGAAGATCTAGATCTAGATGAAGAGCTAGATCCAGTAAAAGATCTAGATCTAGATGAAGAGCTAGATCCAGTAGAAGATCTAGATCCAGTAGAAGATCTAGATGAAGATTTAGCTCCTTTGAAGATCTAGCTACTTTGAAGATCTAGATCTGTATGAGATCTAGAAGTAGTTAACAGGCTAAGAAGCTAGACTATTAAAAACCCAAGTCCTTGGATATCTAAAGTACTTGAAAACCAGGTACCTGGGTTGTTCAACTGACCCAGTACCGAGGAATAAACCCAGTGCACCAGATCACTAGCGTTTCCACACCCCTACCCCTCTCAGGCCATCCCTTCCCTTTACTCCCTTCCAAGCCTTCTAGCTCATAATTGAGAGTCACCGATGCCGTCCTTTTGCTGCGTTCTTTCTCCATTTCATTTCACCTACCCACGAAAAACACGCTGCCGATGATACCGTGTGTTTTATTTACCCATTTATTGAGTGCACCAGCATTTCTTTTTTGGCCACATCTCTGGGCACTCTTCCCAATCTGCCAATCGTTCTTTCTTTTCATTTGTGTTTTCTTGTTTTCTTTCTCGTGCATTGATCGGAATGAGCTTTAAAAAAGAGAGAGAAGATTCTATTCTGCTTAGCCCATTCCGATTGTCATCACCTCTTGTAATGCTAGGCGAGTTTGTCTGTATCAATTTTATAATTCGTAAGAGTCCCATATCTAGACTTGATCTTATCGATAGTGCCAATTAAATACAACTATAGAAATCTATCGTACTTCAAGATTAGGGTACTCAAAGTTACCGTAAAAGGGTTACAAGAGCTCAAAGTTCCAGTTACAAGAGCTCAAAGTTGTCCTGTGCTGTAGCCAGATTGTTGTTTAGGAAACTGTTGTTTAAGAAGCTTGTTTCTAAGTACAAATGAAATTCAAGGTCTTGAATAGTTCAAGTGCTCAAGATTACAGTACTCATTGGATACTGTAGCCTTGATTGTTGGCTGTTTAAGAAATTGCTTTAAGTTTCAGCGACTAATGAGACTAGCTTATTGAGCGACTAATGAACTGTAGCTTATTTGGCACTGTATCGATAAACAAGTCTATATCCATTGGACAGGTTTCGATAGATCGGACTTCCAGTGGTTTATCGAAAAAGGGTTGATGGTTGTGTGTGTTTTCTAAAAAGGTCGACCGTCCTCCCCTATAAATGGGCGGCCTGGGCCCCTCGTTGAATAGAAAGCACACCACCCGTTTTTCTCTTTTCGGCGATCCACCATTTAAAGCCTTTCTCTCATCCTGTCTACTCGAGAGTTAGAAAGGTCGACTTTAAACAAAGAGATGTCTAGCTTTATCTAGATATCACTAGCTTTTGGATACTGTAGCTGACTGTAGCTGACTGTAGCTGACTGTAGCTGGCTGTAGCTGACTGTAGCTGACTGTAGCTGACTGTAGTCAGTCTATGGTACTGGTCTCGTCTCATCTCGTAGTCTCATCAAGCAGATTTTCAAATTCCCCTCTAACTGGTATCGATACTATGGCCCTGGATACCTTTTAGGACACTTGGTAAGCTTCGTTTGAGTTCTTCTAACAAAACCAATTACAATGTGAATACTGAGAAAAGCTAGAGAAAAGCTAGAGCCAGCTACAGTACCCAAAAGCTTTTAAGATCCAGCTAGATTCAGCTTTTAAAAAATCATTGAATCAAAAATTTCCAATACTCCTTTCATTAGGCACCAATTTCCCCCAATTCTTCCCAATTTTCTTCGAATTTTCCGAAATCCGAAAAATTTCTTCTTTTCTGTTGATTTCCAGACTCTCTCCCTGGCATATCATTCAAATCGACCGAATAATTTTTTTCGTTTTCAATTTCAATTCTTCATTTTTGTCACCACTTTACTCTTAAAGCTTTCCGTAAAAGAAAGGTTCACTCCTCTCTCATAATTATAGTTTTTTAAATCTATTTTGCTATTTTGTAATACTTTAACACCTTTTTTTCGTTTTATTTTTGGAGCACAATAAATTTGATGGAAAAAAAAACAGAAAGTGACACTTTAAAGAAGCGTTATGACATTCTACAAAACGTTATGACCTCTACAAAACGTTATGACTTCTACAAAACGTTATAACTTCTACAAAACGTTATGACTTCTTGTTTGCATAACTTACTTTTAAAATCGAGCAATTTCCCTACAAATCCAAAACTTTGCACGATTATAACTCTTTACAGAGTGCTTCATAGCAGAAACGGAAAGCAGATTTGGAAACGATGAAACTCTACGTCGAATAGTGTATTTCTCATTTCATTTGGCCACCACACTCCGTTTAGCCTCGAATGCGTTGACCGTTGACCGTTGACCCTGCAAGGCTTTTTGAAAAGCAAATTTCAAGCGAAAAAGCAAATTTCTGATCAAAATAACTTACTTCTACTAGGTTGATGCAAATGAAATTTCGCTCCGTCTAAAATATTCTATTTTTTAATCTGAAAATCTTATTTGTTCTTCTTTTATACAGGGTGTTAAAAAAAACAGTTTGCCTTAACTTTCCATGACACCACGATGCCAGTAGAAAGTTTTAATTTTATGGCAAAAGTCTTATGGTGGTGGCCCATAGGGTGGTGGTGACCATAGTGGTTCAGAAATTTCATTTATTATCGGTCATGAAAGCGGGATTTCCAGACCAAAATATTCACTTTGGCATCACGACGACCACCAGTAGCCATCAGAATTTCTTTGGAAAATTAAGGCGGCTTTTTTTGTATTGAGTATTCAAAGATAAACTAAACTATTATAGTCGTTCGATAGCCCTGAATTTCCTCTTCAAATTAGTATAAAAAGTTACCGAGAATAAATAGGAAAAGTCCTTAAAAAGTTGAGTTGACACCAAAAATGATCATTAGAAGACCTAGGCGAGTTCCTGGGTGGATTCAAATCAGCCAGAGCCGGCTAGAATGCAGGATTGGTTTTGCTTTTTGGCTTTGCAGGACATTTTGTGAGAAAAACCGAGCCTGAGCAGCAGTAAAGCCAGCCAGAGCTCAGGAATTAGGAGTTTTTTGGCCGGAGCTCACAATTACTCAATTGCTTCACCACCTTCACCAAATTTGCTGAATTCATTAAATATTCTTATCGATTTCTTCCTGGTTCAAGCCTTAAAACCAAGATTAACCAAAAATGTTATTTAGAATTTTCATTTGATTGCCCAGACATAAAAAGGTATTAATTTTCACCTGTTTCACCAAAAATCCGAGGCACTCGCGTCAATCAGAAAGATTTAAAGTTAAATTTAGGTTTTGTAGTTAATTTAACTTTCTCATTGAGCTTATAAAAAATTCTGTAATTTCTACGATTTCAGGCCTTAAGCTGCTCTTATTCTTAACTTATTTGTAACAAACTTATTTATAAACTAAAGTAAAGCAAATGGATAACGTGATCGATCTCAGCCAAGCACCAGCGATCCTTTTCTGGTTTCGCATTGTCTCAGGTTGGGAAATGAAACTTTAAAGGAAATTTCTTTTGTTTTAAGGTTTAACTATTTGGGTGAATATCTTATGTCTTTATTTGATTGCTGTCGCAACACCGAGAGGACTCGGAAATTTTCGATGGCATATGTTCGCGCTACATGTAAGATTCGAAGCAAATACTCTTGACTCTTTCTATTCTGGCTGAACCCGAGGGTTTTTTGTTGGCTTATAGCTAGTTTGAAGCTAATTGCTAATTGTATTGGGTTGGGGACTATGACTCGGCGCCGAAAATCAAAAAAATGTCTAAAACTTCTATTCGACTTCGTCAAATAATATGCGTTTGATATCAGTAGAATGGCTAACTAATTCTCTACAAAACGACATTTAAAAGAAAATTCAAACAGCGCCTCCGCTCAAGAAAAAGCCATTTTTTCACAAAAACTACAAACTGTCATCTAGAAAAAACAATTGGTGGGATCTTCCTGCAAATTTGGCAACTTAAGTAATTGAATGTGCTCTATCTTTTTTATGTAGACACCAAAGAAGGTTTATGTGGAAGAAACTGTTCAAACGAGGAGTCGGACACTTTGCCATTTTGACTAGCTGTGTTTGGGAGTCCATAAACTCCACGAAAGAAAAGCTTTGTGGAATCTCTCGAAAGTCATTTTGTAGAGAAATAGTGGATCCTTTTGATGAAACCAAACATATATTTAAAGAAGGCTTTATGTGTGCAAAAAGTCCCTTTAAAGTTTGGCGCCGAGTCATAGTCCCCAACCCAATAGATATGGTTAGAAACCAGGCTCTTATCTGGGACTTTGGATTAGTTTGGCTTGAAATGTTTGGAGCAGAGTCCGAACCATTAGGTCCCTCTAGAAAAATTACCCTCTAGTTTCCTCTGGAAATTTCCCTCTCTGGTTTTTCCCGTGGGAAATACTTTCCCTTCCTGTCCCTTTAACATGCCATCATCTCGCAGAAAAGTTCCCTCGGGAAAAGTTCCTCGCGGGAAATTTTTTGTTTTCCCGAAGCTGTTTCCCGCAACATTATGGCCCGAGCTCAGCTCTAATTTCCAGCTATGTGAATGATAATTTTCAGTTGGTCAATGCAAGACCCTAGTTCATCGACGATTCCTTTTCAGTGTTACCAAATGTGCTGCGAGTACGGGGTAGCCTTTTTGGCTTTCCCAATGTTGGGGTTGCCAGCACAAGGCGGCTTTGCAATTGGTCCATTGGCTGATTGTGGATTTGATGTCTATTGGCAACTGGTAAGATTTTGACCAGAAATGTTTCAAAGCCAATTTCTTGGGTCAGGCAGCGTCCGGTCAGATCAGTTCCATTCTAGATTGTGTTGATCTACGTGACAGTTGCCGTTGTTTCCTCAACACAAATTCTCGGCTTCATTCGACAGCAATCTGTTTTGAAGAATGAGCATTTCTTGAAATTGAAACCACGGTAAGTTTTGGTTTTAAAAATTTCGCAAAAATTTCGTTTTAAGGCATAAAAGATATTGGATCGTTTTTTCGTATGTTTTTCCGATTTTCTGGACAGTTTCCATAATGCTTATCCTTTGGGGAAACGATGTTCACAAGGCGTTAGATGGCTTTCAAAATGTGAGGTGTCAAAAGATCGGCTAGGTGACAAAAGATCGGCTAGGTGACAAAAGATCGGCTAGGTGACAAGTTAGACTTGCACTTTGTGTGTCAAATAGATTGCGTTTGCTCGAACGCAAAGTACGATAGAAACTACAAATTGTGAAACAGTTGAAACCGGTTTTTTCACAGTTGGAACCGTTGGAATCTGTTTTTTCCTGTTTTAGAACAGTTTATTGACAGTTTGACTTACAAACTAAATAAAAGAAGCCACGGGTAAGCACTCTAAAGGATCTTCCAACTACTGTAATCCAGTCATGGCTTAGTTTTATATGCATTTGCGTTTCTTATCAATTTGTTGATGCTACAGTAGCCCTTACGATTGTATTGGGTTGGTTGAATTGAAAACTGCGGGCTATTTCGCGGGACTCGCAGATAAAAAAACAACAGCATTGAAGGGGGATTTGGTTACTTCAACATTTCCTCAAATTATTGCGAAAAAATTATGCTTCCAGCTTTTTATTTTTTGGTATTTTTCTTCACTTCTTCTATTGCACTCGACAATCTGCCACCGGGAGATATTCGTCATGTCATGCTTCATGAGTTCCTACAAGAGCACAGTGCAGACTTGGCAGCTGCTAATATTAAAAAGATAGATGGGGAGGACTCACCTTCCGAAAGAACGTGTCGAGTATGGTTTGCCAAGTTTCGATCTGGGGACAAATCTTTGAAAGATGCAGAGGGCCGTGGAGCGGCACGCCAACTGAATGATTCCAAATTACTCGAACTCACTACCAACGACCACCGGATATCATCGCGTGAATTGGGAGAAGAGTTAGGGGTTGATCATGCTAGAGTGCTAAAGCACCTTCATACCCTTGGATTTAAATCGAAACTTGGGGCTTGGGTGCCCCATGACCTCAATAACCCCCAGAAGTGGGATGAAAGAACGTGTCGAGTATGATTCCAAATTACTCGAACTCACTACCAACGACCACCGGTATCATCGCGTGAATTGGGAGAAGAGTTAGGGGTTGATCGTGCTACAGTGCTAAGTCCCGCAGTTTTCAATTCACCAACCCAATAGAACGGTTTACTGGAACGCGTTACGCTGGCTGAAGTCGATTTTCGAAAAGTTTCAAGTTCAAGTTAGAACGAGAATTATTGAAAGCCGAAGTAGTGAAGTAAAGAATTAATTTCGTTAACACAAAATGCATTCATTTCAGGAATACCCCTACCTTGCCCCGTTCTTTCAACAACGTTCAAGTTTCGGGGTGGAACTTGACTTCGGACGGCGAACAATCATCCCGTCGATTGGTTTCGTCATCTTTTATACAGCTGTATTCATCGGTACAACTTCAATAATAGTGCCAAAACAAGTGTTGTTCTCAACCTTTCAGTGTTGGTCGCAACAGCGCTAAGCTCTTTGAAAGCCATGGAAAAGTCGATGAGTCGACGAACGCTGGAGATACAGAAGCAATGGTTGAAACATGTTTATACACAGGTTGAAAAGAAAATTTTTGTTACACTTCCTTGCAAAACAAGTAAATCATCGCTTTGTGAACTTCTGTGAAACATTCCTTTTATATCTTCACCATTTAGAGTTCCAAATGATTTAGGGAAACGATAACAATCTACTATATATAAAGCAATTGTCTGTCTGTCCGTCTGACCGAGATCTCAGCCTCCTAGCCCGATCTCAGTCTATTTGAGCTGAATTACGGTGCTAAGTGTAGATTGCGTATTCAGCTTAGAATAAGCTATTCTATAGAGCTAGACAAAATCTGGATAAAAGAAACAGGATAAATTCCTTAAACAAATCCTAAATACCCTGTCAGCTCAGGGCAACAGTCGAACTTTCCCATTAAATCGGATTTCCAGAGAACCACCGGCTCCCTATGTTCCCAAAATAACCTGACCGAGATCTCAGCATTGGAGCCGTTTTGTGGACCGATTTAAATAATTTTTTCTTTGTTAGATAGGGAATTTTATGTAGTTGTGTCATATTTTATCTATAAATTCTTCAAAAGCAAAAATCAAATTACCTAAGGGGATCAAACCCGGGTTGTGTGGGCGAGAGACGGTCGCGCTACCCACTGTGCCATGGGTTTAAAAGACGAATTTGCATTTTTGTCGGGATTCCTTTTTACCCTTTAGGTATTCAATTAATTGATAGAATATCTTTTGTTTTTTGTTATCTATTATATAAAAGGGAAGTGTCTGTCTATTCGTCACTGTCTGTCTGTCCGTCACTGTCTGTCTGTCCGTCACTGTCTGTCTGTCCGTCACTGTCTGTCTGTCCGTCACTGTCTGTCTGTCCGTCACTGTCTGTCTGTCCGTCACTGTCTGTCTGTCCGTCACAGTCTGTCTATCCGTCACTGTCTGTCTGTCCGTCACTGTCTGTCTGTCCGTCACTGTCTGTCTGTCCGTCACTGTCTGTCTGTCCGTCACTGTCTGTCTGTCCGTCACTGTCTGTCTGTCCGTCACTGTCTGTCTGTCCGTCACTGTCTGTCTGTCCGTCACTGTCTGTCTGTCCGTCACTGTCTGTCTGTCCGTCACTGTCTGTCTGTCCGTCACTGTCTGTCTGTCCGTCACTGTCTGTCTGTCGGTTTTCTCGGCGCCTAAATTGAATTTCGGGGTGCGTTTTTTTGTTAGATTGGTAGTATCATGCTGAGGTTGCCTCCACAAAGTTAGAAAATTTCATCCTCGCTTTTTTACGCAAATTTGAGTTGTTTCGTAGCCAGCAATGTTAACTCCGCCCCTTTTTCGATCCGTTTGCCGTTGGCAATCTACTAATTTTGCTCGTACTTTGATCGGGTTTGTTTGAAAAACGTTGAATTTGCTTTCATTCGATCGAAAATTTAATTCGAATCGAACGAAAGCCTTTTCGGTCTGTTTGCCGTTGGCAATCTACGTGTTTTACTCGTATCTTAACCGGGTTTGTTTGAAAAACGTTGAATTTGTTTTTATTCGACTCGAAATCAAATTTTCTATCGAATGAAAGCAAATTCAACGTTTTTCAAACAAACACGGCTAAGATACGAGTAAAATTAGTAAATTGCCAGCGGCAAACGGATCGAAAAAGCGGCGGAGTTAACATGCCTGCTCGTAGCGAAGTAATTGTTACAGGGGTCTCGAGTCTCGAAGGGGTGCATGACGCGACGTTAGTCACGCTGAACGCCGCAGTCTAGGTGTCGGTGTTGCTTCGGAAGATATTAGCGTTGGTGCCGATATTGCTTTGAAGGATTAAGAGATAGATCTCAGTATTATTACAGGGTTCTCGGAGGCGGCGCAGGATGGGAGCGGAGGAGACTCTTTAACTCGAGAAACCAAACTATGCGTTAGCCCTAAAACACCGAGCCAGAAAAACTTGCTGAGCATTTCGGGTGGTACAAGAATATAGCAGATGTATGTATTCCCAAACTTTCTTGTCATCTTAATCTCTAAAGACATTTTATAGTTTTGAAAGTGAAAAGTTTTTGATGTATATGTCGTAGCCGATTGTGAATTTCAGCCGATTATGAATGAGTGGGTCTAGGAGCGTCCAACCATCAAGTATTTAGTATCATTCAACGCAGAATCATTAATAATTATGTTAAATTTTTTAAATCAGAAAGATTGGATAAAAATAAAAAAAATTATGGGGCTTCAAAGTTCTCTCTTGAACAAACAGTTTTTTTGATCTAATTTTTTTTCTTTTTATCAAATCTTGTTAATTTTAAAAATTTAACATAATTATTAATGATTCTGCGTTGAATGATACTAAATACTTGATGGTTGGACGCTCCTAGACGCTCCTAGACCCAAATACTTGATGGTTGAACGCTCCTAGACGCTCCTAGACCCAAATACTTGATGGTTGAACGCTCCTAGACGCTCCTAGACCCAAATACTTGATGGTTGGACGCTCCTAGACGCTCCTAGACCCAAATACTTGATGGTTGAACGCTCCTAGACGCTCCTAGACCCAAATACTTGATGGTTGGACGCTCCTAGACGCTCCTAGACCCAAATACTTGATGGTTGAACGCTCCTAGACGCTCCTAGACCCAAATACTTGATGGTTGAACGCTCCTAGACGCTCCTAGACCCAAATACTTGATGGTTGAACGCTCCTAGACGCTCCTAGACCCAAATACTTGATGGTTGGACGCTCCTAGACGCTCCTAGACCCAAATACTTGATGGTTGAACGCTCCTAGACGCTCCTAGACCCAAATACTTGATGGTTGAACGCTTCTAGACCCACTCATTCACAATCGGCTACGGGGATCCGGCCGATTTTGAATCAAACGTTGTAACGCCGGCAATTTTTAACTTAAACTCACAAATTTGGTACCAATCGACGCAGAATTTAATTCGCTACAAGATGATATAATATTGTCCTCGTACATTAAAGGGTTGCTCTACTAGAAAGATTTGCCAAAAAATTTCATTCATAATCGGCTACGACATATTAAATCACAACTATTACATATTGAGGCTACAATTATTTTCTTCCATCAAACTGTGCCCGCAAGCTGGATCGCTTTCGTGATGATTTTTGATGCTCAACATTTAGCAAGTGGGAACTCTTGCTTGTGCATTTTGTAAATTTCTAACATAGAGGTGTATTTGTCAAGAATTTCATTGGTTTAACAATAATTGCTTATTGTTGCTTATTGGCTTTTTCTGAAATTTCCTAGCTTTTCCTGAGACTTTCTCGGTTTTAATAAAAGATAAAACAATATCTGGAAGATTCAAGAAATCCTCGTTTCAGCTTTCACAATGTGCTTTATTTTAATGGTCGCCATGCAGGGAACATTCTGTGCTTTTGCTTATTTCATGTATGGTTCGTATCGGAAACATTTAAAAAAGACGTTTATCAAGTTGTTGTTTAGAAAGAGTAAGGGATTTGGTTTGTTTATTTCTAACAAAGTGGGTTTAGAAAAATCTTCGATTGTGGCGATTCGTGGACCCTTGTTCACTTACTAAACAAGTAGAGTGGAGAAAAGTTGGAGAAAAGATTACGGTACAATAGTTCTACAGCTTATCCACTTTTAGAAGAGGCCTTCTCAGCATTCAGCAAGAGTTCCCAGCAAAGCAAGCAAGGTATTGAAGCTGTTTATGTTTGAAAATTCAGTTGTAACATTGCGTTCAACACCAGCGAATATTGATCAGCTTTTAAGATTGACATCTGATTCTGAAAACTATTGGGTTGGTGAATTGAAAACTGCGGGACTTTGAACTAAAATTGATTCAACATAAAACCATGAATTCATTCCAAATAATTTCCATTATTATTGACGACTTCTGTCCATTTTACAGCCAATTTGCGGATTCCTCTTTCGTAGCAGGATTTTGGTTTTGAATCGAAAAACTTTTCGAGCCAATTTTTGACTGCTTCTTCCGAATCGAAGTGTTCTCCCGCAAGCTCATTACTCAGGGTCCGGAATAAATAGTAATCAGTAGGGGCAAGGTCCGGACTGTATGGGGAATGCGCCAAAAGTTCCCAAACAAGGCTATTTATTTTAGAGCGAATCAGTTTTGCAACATGAGGGCGCGCGTTGTCGTGGAGGAGAACGATCTTTGACTTGAAGGGCCTGTTCTTCTTCAGGGATTCATTGCGGATTCCTCTTTGGTAGTAGGATTGGTTTGGTTTGATTTTGGTTTGTGTGTGAGACAAGTGTGAGACTCAAAAATGGAGGACCGGAGATGGAGACTGGAGATCCCAGTTTGAGCACTTTCTTCAAAAGAAACCCATTTTGGTGTCAATGAAAAAGTTGTAGAGAATCAAAAATCAAGCTTATATCCTAATTTTCAGAACGATTCAAGAACCGGTTTTCAAGAAATGCCAAATTTACGAATTTTCACAAAACTTGCAACAAAACCTGCATTTTAAGCGAAACTACTAAGTGTATCTTTTTGGAAATTTGGCTATAAGCCTAATTTTTGATTCTCTACAACTTTTCTATTGACACCAAAATGGGTTTCTTTTGAAGAAAGTGCTCAAACTGGGACCTATGACAATAGCCGGCAGTTTTCAATTCACCAATCCAATAACATCGCGTCCAACATCAGCGAATATTGAACAGCTTTTAAGATTGACATCTGATTCTAAAAATTAATTCATGAAAAGATTTTGTCATAGAAAAACGCTAGAATAGAACAAGGCTTATTTTTCTAAAATGGAACTTTTAACCTTATTTCTTCTCGCAACTTATTTTGCAATGATCATAGCTCGGGTAAAAACAAAACATTTGACTTTGATTTAGGGAAATGACTATAGATATTAATATCTAACAATAAGATACAGTAATCACAATCGATTTATTGCTCCAAACAGCTTCCAGGTCAAAGCTATATCTTTTTAGAGATGCCACACCGATGCTGATTGCTCGAAACCCTATTTTTGCTATCTGGGATTTTGCTCTCAATAAACTATTGCTTTTAAAAACTATTGCTTTTAAAAACTATTGCTTTTACAAGAAGAAAAGCCAGGCAGCCAGCAGGAAGCCAATAAAGTGAATAAATTCACATTTCGCTTTCAATACCATAGCAATTTTGTGATTTGTAGGAAAACGATGTGAATTACGATAACATTTGCTGAAGCATATCTTTTAGAAAACACAAATAGGAGTTGCCTTTGTTGTGGATTATTTAATTTTGTTTATTTATTGATACAAAAGTAAAGTCTATAGCTTTGCAGAGCATATTTTCTAAAAGTAAAAAGGAGATCTGATTAATTCTTTATAAGCTTTCACAGAAAAATTTCATTTTGCTTTCAAAAATCATTCGTAAAGCAAGGAACTATTTTCCTTTTTCTCCTTTTTAATGTCACCAGTTTTTGTGCTTTTAAAGTTATCAACTAATTCAAGTCTAGGGATCTCCTTTACAACTAATCCCTATGAGTCGGTAAGTTAGATTTCAAGTTAAGTTGTTTTGTTTTTGTTGGGAATTTATTTTGTAAAAACATGCCATATTTATAGCAATTGTTTAGGAGAAATGTAATTCGACTGAAGTTTATTTTCCTGGTAGAACAATTTGCAATCTCATTAGTCATCTCTGTGTGCCCGATCCAATAGATAGCTTTACCGAAGCCAAAGCTTTACCGAAGCCAAAGCTTTACCGAAGCCAAAGCTTTACCGAAGCCAAAGCTTTACCGAAGCCAAAGCTTTACCGAAGCCAAAGCTTTACCGAAGCCAAAGCTTTACCGAAGCCAAAGCTTTACCGAAGCCAAAGCTTTACCGAAGCCAAAGCTTTACCGAAGCCAAAGCTTTACCGAAGCCAAAGCTTTACCGAAGCCAAAGCTTTACCGAAGCCAAAGCTTTACCGAAGCCAAAGCTTTACCGAAGCCAAAGCTTTACCGAAGCCAAAGCTTTACCGAAGCCAAAGCTTTACCGAAGCCAAAGCTTTACCGAAGCTTTACCGAAGCCGAAGCTTTGGTAAAGGCCTTTGTCCAAAAAGTTCAAGTTAAAAAATGTAATCAATATTCTGAAGCATAGAGTTTTTGAGCTTTGAAATGCTTTTTGACTATAATAAATTTCATGTCCAGTGTAGAATAGTGAAATGGGATTTGCTGAAGAGGAAATAGCAAGCTTTATGCTAAGAGAACCAACAGTTAATGAAATCGATCAACGTTGAGCAAAGAGATTTCATCTTATGTACTTTAAATGTCCTGTTATTTCTTCTAAACAATGCATCATATTTTTTCTGATAGAATTTTGTGATATTTACTGAAGAGAGAATAAGAGCTTGTTGATTTGACGAGTACATTTTCATCAAAAGTTTATCGAAATTTTATCAAAAGTACCAAAATTCGCAGTGTTTTTAAGTGAAAGCATCATAAAGGAAAACTTAGTTATTTATTATAGTCAAGTTACTACCCAAAATGAACAAGTCCTGCTTCAATGATGTTTGTGAATGGACTTCCATGTGGTTGCGGGGTTTCTCTCAAATACGGCATCGACATGTTATAATAAGGTGAAGGGTAAACAGTGGTATTGGGAGATATTTGTACACCTTGTGAGAGCCGTGGATAGCGATTGTTTTCTTCGGGAACTTTCTTCGGCCGAAGGAAAGCAAAAGGTTCTTTTGGTACTTTCGGGATCGATGTTTTTGGGAGTGTCGATTTTAGCAGCTTCTATATTTTGGTTATTATTGCTAGAATGGTAACAAACCGAAACTTGTGTGTCGAATTTTCTCAAATGCGGCAAGTAGTCCTCTGAAAAAGTCTCGAATTGTTCACCAAGTTTTCTAAAAAGGATTCTTTTTCAAGCCAACAACCAACAACAACTCTACCTGAGTTCTTTTGTTTTCACAGCAATAACATTGAACGTTTCGTTGTCCAATTTAGCCACATCATTCAAAAGGTTTTGTCTGAAATGATGAGAATTAAAAGCCATTTTTAAAAGCCATTTTCTCTCACTCACCCCAATTGTTGAACCTCTTCGATTAACTTTTGATGAAAATGTCGGAAGATCTTTTCATAAGCATTAATTTGGATGTCAAGTGATTTCTTTGTTTCTTGGAGCATTTTGCTTCTCTGAAAGAGTTGTTAAATCAAAAGACTACGGTACAATAGTTCTACAGATTATCCACTTTTAGAAGAAGCCTTCTCAGGCAAAAAAAGAAGGCAAAAATAATAAGCCTTGATAGAGGGAGTCCCAAAATTACGCAAAAAAAATGCCTAAAAGTCCCAACCTCCTTTTGCCGCACTTTGCTGTTATGCGCTTTTTGGGCACAAAACAATTTTGGAAACAAAATTTGGTGCTTTCAGCAGGATGGGGAGCCTGCCCAGAAAGCCAGAATTGTCCAAGACTGGTGTGAACGAAACTTTCCGAATTTCATCAGTTTTAAACAGTGGCCACCATTGAGCCCTGATTTAAGCCGAGTTTTCATCGAAACTCGATCATAGCGCTGCATCGACTGGGGCTTTTGACACGTGCAATTTCTCAAAATTTGGGAGTTTCTACGCGGATCGTGAAAAAGACGATTAAACGCTTTAAGGAACAGCTTTGGAAAGCTTTGGAACAAATGATAGAGCTGGTCAAGGAAAACGGTATTCTGCAGTGATTCAGTCCAACATTGAGAGAGGTTACGTCGTAACCCGGAACGATCAGTTCTGCTTTTGTCCCGCCAAATGGGAATTTCTGAGCCTAGAAGCTAAGAAGTGTGCTAAACCAAATCGAACAGTTGACTCGTTAAAGAAAGCACTCCTTAAAGCATGGGACGAGCTTGATGTTGCCTAATTGAGTGTCACAGTTGAGTTACGAGTTCTTTCGGGTACTTGTACTTACGAGTACTTGAGTTCTTTCGGGTACTTGTACTTACGAGTACTTGAGTTCTTTCGGGTACTTGTACTTACGAGTACTTGAGTTCTTTCGGGTACTTGTACTTACGAGTACTTGAGTTCTTTCGCGCGTGTCTTGAAGCGTGCGTCGCCGCTAATGGAGGATTTTTTGAAATTTGAGTTTTACATTTGTTAACATATAAATAAAGATTGTTATAAGAACTTTGTTATCTTTTGGTGACTGTTTTTTTTTGTTTTATTTTTCGGTTAGTAGTTTTCTGGTTAACCTGATTTATCTAGATCCATAATTAGGGCGCACTCTGGATCTTGTTTTTTAACCCAAAAAAAACACTTGGGTTATTGACCCAAGTGTTTTTATTAAACAAATCCGTTTTCTTTTCAAAGCCACCTCTTCTTCTAGCAGATCCACCACTTTGTGAGTTCGATGTCGACGATAACAACATGCACCACAAATCTGAAAATCAAATTTGTAAACATAAAACAATTAAGAGCAACTCTTTTCTTGCAATCATCACATTCGAACATCTGTTTGAGCGTAAACTAAAGAAGAAATCTCATCTTAAACTCGAAAACAAAGAAAAAACCAACACTTTCGTCGCATTCAGCGCAAGTTTCAGACCGCTGAAGCTAAAGTTGGTTACATTTATCTAGAAAAAAGCAAAGTTGCAAAGCAAAGCACACCTGAGTTGATTGTCTAGTCTGTTGCTCTTTCAGTTGTTCCGTCAATGTCGGTAGTTCTTGAAGGAAAACTTAAGCCGAACAAATTACAGACAAATACTTCTTTCACCTTTCATGCAATTCTCCAAATTCCCAGAAGACAACAAATATGGATCAGCTTTTTGGCATATCGGGCATTTATATGTGCACCGCGTTCCATTTGGACCTGCGACTTGCGTTGACGTTTTCTCGAAACATCCATTGCAAACCATATGATTACACCATAAGCGAAACGGTTGCCGTTCGAGTGAATCAACGGAATCTGTAGGCTTTTTTAGTTACAAAACTAAACGAATCACCAAACACTCTTCTTGACAAATGGGGCACTCGGGGAGTTGGATCTCCTGGAATACTCGAAGTCGAAGATGCAAAGCAGTCCAGCATCACGAACGAAGATGCTGGACTGCTTTGCGCGCCTGGTTATCAAATTAAAGTAGAGAGGATGGATGATTTTTTGAGTTATAGCCTCTGACAAGGGAGGAGTTCGAACTGACCGGACGATTTCGCTAAGTCGCTGAGATGCAAACGCCTATCGAGCATGGGGAACACGATCCTCTATTTATTTTTTGCGCATTCTCAATGCTTCACAAGAAAAACGCTTGCAAAGTTTGGGAAATCTCAGGAATCTCGGGAAATCGCACCTCGGCGGTATATAAGCCTTCCCTTCAAACGTCACCGTGCTGTAGAGATAAGTGTGTGCGCTCTCAAGCTCAATTTTGCTTTCTTGACCCTGGTTCGGATTTTTTGACCCTGGAGTGTCCCTGGAGTGTCCCTGGAGTGGAGAATTCGATTGTTTTTCGCACTTTTTCGACTCTTTTCATTATGGTTGTTCGATCTTTTGTAGAGAAAAGGAAACATATTTGTGGAGAAGAGGAAATATACTTGTAGAGAAAAGGAATCATTCTTTTAGAGAAAAGGAACCATATTTGTAGAGAAATCGTAAATAGTTGTCATAACATTAAAAAAAGAATCTAACCATAATGAAAAGATTCGAAGAAAAAGGCACTTTTTTTGGAGGGAGCGGGCCTTTTATGCTTGACAAAAATGGTGCAAAAATGGTGCAAAAATGATGACAAATATAAATTCAAGGCGCATCCCTAGTGAGGTGCGATTTCCTGAATAAGCGTCCAAACTTTACAAGTGTTTTTTTTTGTGAAGCATTGAGAATGGGCAAAAAATAAATAGGGCATTGCTCCCCATACTCGATAGGCGTTTGCATCTCAGCGACCTAGCGAAATCGTCCGGCCAGTTCGTTGCCATTCGTTTGTTAAATGGGTATTTCTAGTAGGCTTGATCAATTTCCTAGTAGATCAATTTTCTAGTAGACATCAATAGAAGCGTAACAAAAAAAAACAGGTTTTGTTCTTTGTAAGAGTAACTTTTTCTGGAGTCCTTTCAAGATACCGTAAATCCTCTATTATTCGGATCCTCAAAAAATCACATAAGGGAGTAGCACATTGTTGAAAAAAATTATTTTTGACTTGAATCACTAACTTGAATTACTTGAATCACTTGAATCACTAACTTGAATCACTAACTTGCTTCCTTTTGGTCTAAAACATACGAAAAACACATTTAAAATCAAACGTTATGTCTATGGTTCTACCCCAGGATGTCTGGGCCTCGAAAATCCCTGTGGTCCCCCATATGATTTTTCTCAAAAAATGCTAAGTCGATTTTTTACAGGATTCATTTGAATTTTACTGCGATGACTTTTAAATTATAATTGGAACCCATATGGCCTATTTTAAGCACTTTCGGAGGCAATTTTTTTGCAAAAAGTTGGAGCTGTCAAAATTAGCATTATGCCGCTCTATGAGAGGATGTCGTTCTAATGGAGGATGTCGTTCTATTAGAGGATCCCGCTCTATTAGAGGATACCGCTCTATTAGAGGATCCCGCTCTATTAGAGGATACCGCTCTATTAGAGGATCCCGCTCTATTAGAGGATCCCGCTCTATTAGAGGATACCGCTCTATTAGAGGATACCGCTCTATTAGAGGATACCGCTCTATTAGAGGATGTCGTTCTATTAGAGGATACCGCTCTAATCGAGGATTTACGGTAGATTTTCACAGCACAAGCAACAACCACCTTAAAGTTTCACCTTTTTAAGGATGTATCCATTCTCCGTCGACGACAACTCAAGCGACTCGTTTGAAAGTAAATCTGGGCATTTTACAAGTAAATGCTTACAATCATACGCTAACCAATCAAAAAGTAAGCCGGAAAGTTTGACATTTTACATTTGTCGGCTATCGAGCATCGATGCTTCCACAAAGCTTTCCCACGAGCCATCTCTTCTTTCCAACACTCATTACAAACAACGGTACCACACTTGAAAAGCATTGGCGAGCTGGTTTCTTTTGATGTGGCACTAACTGAAACACTGTTTGATAAAGGATAAAGGTTTGAAAGTGGCAGTTTCTTGAGAGCTTGAATTCTTAAATTTAAACTTACATGGGTTTTGACAAAGGCAACAATTTAAGCATGTAAAAATCTTCATTTTTAAACTGAAAAGAATCAATAGGTTTGGACGAGAGTCAATAAATGGTGAGTCAGTTTTGACTGGGGAAAGAGAGCACTGTGAACTTTTTGATAACAGGTAGAAAAAAGGAAAAACAGCTGACGAAAAGATGGTAAATAGCTTTTTCTTGTTTGTAGATAAACGTTGATCTACTAATTGCATTTTCCTAGCTGATCAGATTCTAGATTTCCCGCTTTTCAGTTTTTTGCATTTTCCTAGCTGAACTGATTCTAGATCTCCCCGCTTTTCAGTTTTTTTTTGTGATAGTGTCTCAATAAAGCTTGTCTAAATGTTTAAACAGTGTCAAGTTGCTTCTTTAAAACCGTTTAAAAATCACAGTTTCTTCACTGAATTTCATCAAAAACTGCATCTCAAGAAAGGAGAATCGGTTCTTTCTCTGGGTCAAGTTGTTCGGATTGATCATCGTGAAGATCATCTGGGTTGGATTAATCATCGTGAAGACAATGGCGAAATTCTTCGCATCGACTCGCTTTTTGTAGACTTTTCGAAATCTATTTTCCATCGCTAAATCCAAAGAGATCTGGTCTTTTCGTAACTCGCTAAAGGTTAAAGGGATCTGGTTAAAGCTCTCTGCTGCATCATGAAAATAACAGTTCTTCTCAAAGGCTTTTGAGATATTCAATGCTTCTTTTGAGTGATCATCAACTTCTTCTAAAGCAGTAGATTCCAAAAATCCTTAAAAAGCTTTTCAGCTTTTGGATTTGGTACCCCAACAACAGCCTTTGATTTTCCCGCGTATTCCGATCTGTCTAGATCATGTCTAGATCATCAAAATTTTACAAAAATTTTGATTGTAAACGATTTGTGAACGATTGTTTGGAAATCAAAACCCTAGCTAAAAGAGTTGCTTTGTTAAATTGCTTTGTTAAATTGCTTTGTTAAATTGCTTTGTTAAATTGCTTTGTTAAATTGCTTTGTTAAATTGCTTTGCTTTCCCATTTCCGGCAACATTCCGCTTTTCGAAATTTAAAACGATGAGAAATGCTTTTGAGATGCTTTTGAGATGCTTTTGAGATTTTGAAAATCTTTGGATAAATCTAAATTTTAATTTTAATCTTAAGAACTTTAATAAAAATGTTTTCGCAAATTTAAAAAACCACTTAAACAATTGGCAGTCATTGTGACAAAACGTGGAACAAAATTCTGTTTTTTCTACAAGTGTAAACGTTTAAAACTCGATAAACAGAAAAATCTTGTGTTCATCTTCATTTTTATAAGGCAACAACGTAAAGAAACTTTTATAACTGCACTTTTATGGGTGCACGAATCGATAAAAATCAAAATTACAGAGACATTGCTTTTTGCAAAGCGTTGCTCACTGCTCCTGTATACAATCCAGAACGTTTACAAAGCCAGAATAAAAAAGGGAGCAAAAGCAAAAGAAAAGCCCCTAAAGTAAACAAAAGAATTCTTTTTATCATGTTTTTTTTGAAAGGTTTGCTAGTTGTGATTGATTGGTGAGGAGGATCGATTGTTGGAAAGACATGACCGCCGGCTTTTGCCACATTCACTTTCACAAAGAGTCCCCTCGTCTTTATCTTGGCTCCGTCTTGCTGCCAGAAAATCTGGAAAAGCTTTTATTAGTTACTACAACTCTTATTGCCCGAACTTACTATGAGTCTTGCCTAACCAGGGATCGGTATGGTCAATTGTCATCAAGGTTACAAGTTAAATGACCAAGGCTACAAGCTTAGGTGGTTTTCTTATGATCTTGACCGTTTCGCCGTGAAAAACTCAACGAGATGAACTAGTTTTGTCAGAAAAAGCCACCTTAACTTGAAAACTTTCAACTTTTAAGTTTTTGAACCAATCAATAGTTAAGACACTTTTGAGGAATGGTTGAAGCGTTTATCAAGCATAGCCTTACAAGCTTTACAAGCCTTACAAGCCTTACAAGCCTTACAAGCTTTACAAGCTTTACAAGCCTTACAACCTGCTTTACAAGCCTTACAAGCCTTACAAGCCTTACAACCTGCATTACAAGCCTTACAACCTGCATTACAAGCCTTACAACCTCATTACAAGCCTTACAACCTGCATTACAAGCCTTACAAGCTATTACAAGCCTTACAAGCTTTACAAGCCTTACAAGCTTTACAAGCCTTACAAGCTTTACAAGCTTTACAAGCCTTACAAGCTACTTTACAAGCCTTACAAGCCTTACAAGCTTTACAAGGTTGATGCTTGATCTTAATGCCAATTCAACTGCCTTCATCTGCCTTGTTTGTCTTGGCCTTCTAACTGATTTTATTTCAAAACACTGACCCCGACTTCTTTCGCGTCGCCCACTCGGTACGGCCAATTGTCATCAATCACACTGTAAAACAACAAAAAATCATTTGGCTGTTTATGATTTATTTTATGCTGAGATTCAAATAGTCAGAAAGAGTCAGAACTCAGTCAAAATATATTCAGAAAGGCCTATTGCTCAAAGTTATAAATTCTACAAGTCCTTCTACTGTATTTCTTTTTGTTTTAAGCCCTTATAAGGATAAAAATCACTGCATTACCTCATATTGAAATCACCAAGACTTTTTGAGCCCAAGATCATCAATGTCAGCATTCCGTTTCCAACGAAAAAGACCTCGACATCGAATACAACCGGATATTTCCCTAAAAGATTTTAGCTGTAAACTCAAAAGAATCTCAACTGCAGTAAAAGTTTCGTGTCATGTTGTAGCCTTCAGTTCCGGTATTCTGAACGACATTAACGATGCCCATATGGGGATTCTCGTATCCGTAAGAGGTGACGAACACTTGCCCATCGCACACTTCTTGAGGCACATTCCAATCGTACGGATAACTCTTTCCCTCCTCTAAAATGGAAACTTTTCAAAAAGAACAATTTTCTCGTTTTTTAAGGATTATTACTGGATTATTACTGCCGTAAATACTGTAATAGTACCCCATCCCCCTCGTACAGTCGCGTAGTCGCAAAGGTTTTTAGTATTTCATTTTTTTCAAAGCGCCCGTACTTTCAAAAAATGCGTCTTTGGTATCAAAAAATAGCCCTGAATCTCAGCTATTTTTTGATACCTAAGCGCACATTGTAGCATAAACCAGTGTCGAGAAAAACTCGTTCAAAGCTAGAGCTACGCAACACTCCGCACCGTCATTATGGGGCTGGGGTACTATTACAGTATTTAAGGTAAATAAAAAGAAAGCATTGAGTAAAAAGCTCAACAAAAAATCGATAAAGCTGACCTTCGTGAGTGGTTATCAAAGCAAAACTCGGCTGACAACCGGGCGGAACATGAATGCTGAAGTGATTGGGTGAAAGGTATTGCCTAACAAAAGGTTCGTTGTCTCTAAAAAGCTCTCTTGTCACTAAGGACTCCATTTAGTCAGCCGGGGTCTACCGAAAAATGATAATTTTTCGCTCAGGGTGTTTATCGATGCCTGCCGGCGATCCGACGATCAATTGATACTCGCACACTTTCGTTGGTCGATCCTGAATCTCTCTGAATTAATAGGTTGATGCATAAGTGTTTTTGTTCCTTTTCGTCGCCGTTTCGCCAACAAATGCACGAATTAAACTACGGTTGTTTCATTAGAAAAAGCAATTTTTTCTGCAAAATAACATTAAAACGGGTTTAAAAATATTGAATGCCTGGATTTTCTTGGGTATGAAGTCGGGTAGTCAAAAGGGCTAACTCGATGATGCGGTTTAGCCCTTGCTAAAGATGCTAAAGAAAACCTATCTTCGTGTCAATAGATAAAAGATAGAGAAAAAAAACGTTTGATATTTCGCCAAAATTTCAGAGAAATTCATTCAGCCAATTTTTCCGTAGAGTTTTTTAGATTTTTCGAAAAGGCGTTTTTCCTCTCGAATTTGCTTGAAAGTGAACCGAAATTCATTTAAAGATGCAAATTGAACAAAAAACACTTTTTTATAGGCAAACTATGAGTAATTGGTGAATTTGTTACTTTTTAACAGAAGTACGAAAAAAACGAAAAGACTTATGCATCAACCTAATAGTTCCTGTATCAGTTCCCTGATGCCATAATCTCTGATGCCAACAAAAAGCTCTCAGAAAAAACCGAACCCAGCGAAATTTCTCTAGCGCCACCGTGGCCGTGCTTTTGAAAGCGATCGTGATCCACGTGGGAACTTCTGCGTAGTCAATGCGATAGGTGACATCGGTGGAAAAGAGGAGAAACCTCGATGTGTCTAAAGCAATCTTTGCAATGTCTAAAGCAAGAAAAGATCCTCTGATGGGTCAACATCTGTTTATGGGTAAAGGCGGAATAATGTGCTCACTATCGAGGCTCAAAGATAAGGCATTTCTTGGCCAAGAACTTTAAAAAAAACACCGCCGGTTTACGGAAGAGATTGGTTGACTATCGAACGATCCACTAACAATGTTTGACGGTATTTGGAAATCCGATTCAAGCACAGTTCACCTAACGAGGTGTTGACACGACGAAGCGACACCGCTGACACCTTTCTCAGCTCTGCGTCGAAATTGTCGCTCACATAAACCGGGTCGGGTCTGATTAGGCGAGAAGTAACCAAAACGGTTTTGTTCAACGAGGAGACACTGTGAAAAACGAGGAGTAATTGAAATATTGTACGGGCAAACTTTAGCACCGGATCTTGCATCTTGGCGAAGTCTCCATTGAGTCGGACAGGTGCATCCGCTTCGGAACAGGCTTCCTAGAATGAAGGACTCGCTAAATAAAGAACAACAACAACAATACCGTAGTGACTGTAATTGAAGCCCCAGGGTTTCTATTTTTCCCTTTTCCTCCAAAGGGGGCATTCTAATAGAGGAGGCTTCTAATTTTCACCTCTTTTGAAAAATTTCAACTTACCAAAATTGAATACACAAATAGATCGCTCGATAAACTAATTTCCTTTCAATTCTATTAAGAAAAACAGTATAAACATTAAAAACAAGTGCTAATAACCAACAACATTTAGCAACAACAAATTGAAAATAATCAAACTAGACAATCAAACTAGACGTCAATCAAAACATCGGAGTCAACGAAATTATCGGCTTCTTCTTCTGGATCATTTTCTTTGCGAAAATCCTGAAATCCTCTCGATTCGAAGGGCTCTAGAAGCTCGTCGATTTCCTTTTCCATGCGAGCATCTTTCAGCATGTGCATTCCTGTAGAGATCGATTCGGTGATTCACCCGTTTTGAAACAGTGAATCAAGTGATCGTCATCTCTATTTGAATTGCAATTCAGATTCCACATGCTTCGAAAGATTTGAGGATGGTTTCCGCACTGATTGTGTCCCAAGCATTCACAATCCAGCTCAAGTAGATGTCCATTGACGGGGGCTTTGGATTGCCATCCTGCGCACACGAGACCGATCAATTTTGAAGAATTTTGCAGCCGAGTGTATAGAAGTCGATCGAGCCATTTTAACAACATCGTTTGTTGTGCTGATCGTTTTTGCTTTGTTTTCTTTTCCAACTCCGTGCTTGGAATCGTATTTGCATCCGCATCGCTTTCCATTCAAATCATCTTCTTGAAAGAGATCTCGCTCAAGCTCCCAAGGGAGCTTGAGGCTTAGGCTTAGGTTTAGGTTTAGGCTCAAGCTCCCGAAAGAGCTTGAGCGCAGGCTCAGGCGCAGGCTCGGCTGGGCTCGTTCAAGCTTCCGAGAAGCGCGGCGAACTCCTTCAATCCTTTGCCAAAATTGTCCATTCTACCTAAGAAACAGTTAAAAACGTGCTGAAAGCTGTAAAGCATTGAAAAGTACAATGTTTTACAATTCCTCAACAAAATGGTGTAAAAAAATAAAGAGACAAAAGAAAATCTTCAAATGAAATGAGCAAGAAGTGAGATAAATGAATGCAAAGAGCCAAATTATGCAAATTTTGAGCAAAATAAATACAAATTTGGCGCGAGAGGAGGGGCTTCAATTATAGTATTTATGGTAACTTGCCGATTCCTCGATCGAGCACAAAATTGCGATCTCAACAATCAATTTTGAGTCCGACAAGCCATTGTCGTTGTTGTTGAAAACGCAAAAGCGAGTTGGATCTGCAAATTTTTCAGTTTGGGCAGTTTTAAAGTTTTAAAGTCAGCTTTAAATAAAGCTGTGACATTAGTGGACAGTAAAATTCTTACGGGCATCCATATAGGTTGAAATAAAAATAAACGGGTTGATGATAGCCTGTGGCTCCGTTGATGATAGATTGAAAACGATGACACATTTCAACCCATCTAATGGCTCAGGTGCACGCCCGACCTCGACCATAAAGCCGAAGCGCTTGTCTGGGGGATCATTGGGGCAAAATGTGAGCTGTTTGAAGAAATCAAATTTTACTTTTTCTAATTTCAGCCAAACCCGCACACAATCAGCATCGAAATTGTAGGGTTTTTTCCTCCATTCACTCAATGAATTCTCATCGACACTGAACACGTGAAATCATCGTTTAAATCGATAAAATAAAAGTGTTGGGTTGGTGAATTGAAAAATGCGGGCTATTGTCATATGTGACAGTTTGAGCACTCTCTTCAAAAGAAACCCATTCTGGTGTCAATGGAAAAGTTGTAGAGAATCAAAAATCAAGCTTATATCCAAATTTTCAGACCGATTCAAGAACTGGTTTTCAAGAAATGCGAAATTTACGAATTTTTCACAAACTTTCAACAAAACTTGCATTTTAAGCGAAACTACTAAGTGTATCTTTTTGGAAATTTGGCTATAAGCCTAATTTTTGATTCTCTACAACTTTTCTATTGACACCAAAATGGGTTTCTTTTGAAGAAAGTGCTCAAACTGGGACCTCCAGTCTCCATCTCCAGTCCTCCATTTTCGAGTCTCACACTTGTCTCACACACAAACCAAAATCCTACTACGAAAGAGGAATCCGCAAATTGCCTGTAAAATGGGCAGAAGTCGTCAATAATAATGGAAATTATTGTGAATCAATTGATGGCTTTATATGCAATAAATTTTAATTCAAACTCCCGCAGTTTCCAATTCACCAACCCAATAGTTTCAAGGCTTTGATCTAACTTTAATTTTTTTATTTTGACTTTCTAATCGACGTACTTGTTTACGGAATTGAGGGTATTGCAAACGGCTAATAGGCTAGAAATGAAGTCGTTTAACTTGCTGATCCTTTGGAAGTGAATTGGAAAGACAGTAAAGGATGAGAAAAGGCCTCCAATCTTTGGGAAAAGATCGTTTTTCCCACGAGAACTTGTGGAAATGTTAGCGAAAACGACAAGGAAAATTAAAATGCCATTGGCTAAATTGAGGCCACGCGCATAGCCCCCAAAATGGCAGCGATGGCAGGAACCGACCCAAACGACAAGCAGTATTGGATTGTGCGCAACTCGTGGGGAGCTAACTGGGGTGAAGGCGGTTATCTCAGGGTGAGAGATTCAATTCTGAAACACTGATGATCAATTCTGAAAATTTTATGAACACACATAAACCAAAATCCTACTACGAATAATAATGGAAATTATTTGGAAAGAATTGATGGCTTTATGTTCAATAAATTTTAGTTCAAACTCCCGCAGTTTCCCATTCACCAACCCAATAATTCTAACAATTTTCTTGAACATTTATCTTATATTATAAAATCGATGAAATGTTTTTTGTGATTTCATAAACCTGATTGTGAAATTTGACACCATTTCGTCGTCACAACTGATGTATAATGACGGCTTTTGCAGCCAAATCCATGCCGTTATGTTGAGACGGCCACCGTCCATGTGAAGCAATTTCACGGAAACTCTACGCTCCCCGATCTCCTAGAAAATTCATAATTAAAAATTATGCAACCGTAGTCTTGGTCCCATTTAAAAAACTCAATTCTAGTGCCTTATTTCAGTGATTTCGTTTTCTATACTTTTGAAGTACAGCGCCGCCAAAGTGTCCCCAGAAAGTGTCTGGGACAATTTTTGACGTCAAATCCTTTGCTTTCTTTTTCCTCTCGAGGTGTTTTAGAATTCTGGACAGACGAAATTTTTTAAACTCTTTAGATTAAATTTTCTTTGTCACAGAATTTTAAAAAAGCTCGAGAGAAGAAAGAAAACGAAGCATTTCAGTATCAGAAAGTGTCCCGAACATTTTGTGCACACTTTTTGAGGAGACTTGGAGGCTGTACTTCAAAATTATAGCGTTTTTTCTTTATAAACTTGCCGCCAGCCTTGACGGCTGTAGTTCAAATGTCTGACAGATCGACGATCCGTATTCCCACGGATCATCGAGTGACCAAGGATAAAAATAGGTGGAGACGAGGTTTGGCGTTGCCAGCATTTGACTACCTGGAGACGATACGGTCACCCCTAAACACATCATAAAGCAATAAAGAGAAAGCGGAAATGCGACCTTCATACAATGAAGCAAATATAAAACAAAAAGAGCAACTGGCGTTGGCAACGAGCGTGCCGGCAGTGGTACGAATGAAGATTTCGTCATGTCTGAAGTGATTTTGTATTCTCAAACACGCTAGGCAGGCCTTTTAATCACACAAATTTGTTCTAGCTTAGGTTTAGGCTTAGGCTTAGGTTTAGGCTTAGGCTTAGGTTTAGGCTTAGGCTTAGGTTTAGGCTTAGGCTTAGGCTTAGGTTCAGGCTTAGGCTTAGGGCTATGAGCTTTCAGCGATCGTGATTTAACAACAAAAGTGTGTGCTACCTAAGTATGTTGTATTCAAAATCAGGTTGGCTGTTGAGGGCCGGTGCCGCACCAGAGAAATATTTGTATTCGATGTGCTCAGTGCAAGTCACCTCGTTTGGGTCCTGAAATTTGTTCAACACCATTCATTCCAACAGAGTTTTTCATTCATTCCAACCATTCATTTATTCCAACAAAACTCCAAAACCGACCGCGTAAAAGCCAGTGCAGAGATCTGCGAAGGACAGCTGATCATTCGATATCGGTCGAATGTTCATGAAGGGACCAGGCTTGCGCTCATCTGCAGGCCATTTTATACTACAATTGGAGAAGATGAACATTGAATTGATTTGAAGCCTTTTCTTAGCAGTGATGCAAAAGATTCGCTCACTTGTAGACGAACGGATTCGCCACCAGAGTCACCATCCAGTTGGCTCTTGCGAGAAGCACTTCTGGCTAAGGTTTCTTTTTTCATTTAACTTTGAATGACATAAAAAGATTTAACTGACACTTCAACAGCCTCAACAACTAGTCACTCAGTTATTTTGTTGTCTAAAAAATTCGCCAACTCACCTTTGGTTAAATTTGGAAAATTTACGACAAAATATTAGGTTGGTACATAAGTCTTTGCAATTTTTTTTTCGAAACGTCGTTTAAAAATCCTGCCGCCACTAGCAAAATTTCTATTTGAACAATTAAAAAGCTTGATTGTTTCACTGTAAAATGGCTTCTGGGAAATTTTTGGAATTAGTTGTTTTTATGGATTTTCAAAGGCGCAAAGCCGAGTACCCAAAACTCGCCCAATACTAAAGTCGCAATTTGAACACTTTCTTCTATACAAACATTTTTTGGTGCTAAAGTAAAAAAGATAGAGCTCATTTGATTACATAAGTCTGAAAAATTTGAAAACAATCTGTGCAGCCATTTTCTTTAAAACAGCAATTGAAAATTTGACATAAAAATGGGTTTTTGTCGAGTTGAGGCGAGCTTTGAGCTTTCTCTCAAAAGCCA